AAGCGAGTACAGTTATCACTGTGGGTGTAGAAGCGAGTACAGTTATCACTGTGGGTGTAGAAGCGAGTACAGTTATCACTGTCGGTGTAGAGGCGAGTACAGTTATCGCTGTCGGTGTAGAAGCGAGTACAGTTATCGCTGTCGGTGTAGAAGCGAGTACAGTTATCGCTGTCGGTGTAGAGGCGAGTACAGTTACCGCTGTCGGTGTAGAAGCGAGTACAGTTATCGCTGTCGGTGTAGAAGCGAGTACAGTTACCGCTGTCGGTGTAGAAGCGAGTACAGTTACCGCTGTCGGTGTAGAAGCGAGTACAGTTACCGCTGTCGGTGTAGAAGCGAGTACAGTTATCGCTGTCGGTGTAGAAGCGAGTACAGTTATCGCTGTCGGTGTAGAAGCGAGTACAGTTATCGCTGTCGGTGTAGAGGCGAGTACAGTTACCGCTGTCGGTGTAGAGGCGAGTACAGTTATCGCTGTCGGTGTAGAAGCGAGTACAGTTATCGCTGTCGGTGTAGAAGCGAGTACAGTTACCGCTGTCGGTGTAGAAGAGAGTACAGTTACCGCTGTCGGTGTAGAAGAGAGTACAGTTACCGCTGTCGGTGTAGAAGCGAGTACAGTTATCACTGTGGGTGTAGAAGCGAGTACAGTTACCGCTGTCGGTGTAGAAGCGAGTACAGTTACCGCTGTCGGTGTAGAGGCGAGTACAGTTACCGCTGTCGGTGTAGAGGCGAGTACAGTTACCGCTGTCGGTGTAGAAGCGAGTACAGTTATCGCTGTCGGTGTAGAAGCGAGTACAGTTATCGCTGTCGGTGTAGAGGCGAGTACAGTTATCGCTGTCGGTGTAGAGGCGAGTACAGTTATCGCTGTCGGTGTAGAAGCGAGTACAGTTATCGCTGTCGGTGTAGAGGCGAGTACAGTTATCGCTGTCGGTGTAGAAGCGAGTACAGTTATCGCTGTCGGTGTAGAAGCGAGTACAGTTATCGCTGTCGGTGTAGAGGCGAGTACAGTTACCGCTGTCGGTGTAGAAGCGAGTACAGTTATCGCTGTCGGTGTAGAAGCGAGTACAGTTACCGCTGTCGGTGTAGAAGCGAGTACAGTTACCGCTGTCGGTGTAGAAGCGAGTACAGTTACCGCTGTCGGTGTAGAAGCGAGTACAGTTATCGCTGTCGGTGTAGAAGCGAGTACAGTTACCGCTGTCGGTGTAGAAGCGAGTACAGTTATCGCTGTCGGTGTAGAAGCGAGTACAGTTATCGCTGTCGGTGTAGAGGCGAGTACAGTTACCGCTGTCGGTGTAGAGGCGAGTACAGTTATCGCTGTCGGTGTAGAAGCGAGTACAGTTATCGCTGTCGGTGTAGAAGCGAGTACAGTTACCGCTGTCGGTGTAGAAGAGAGTACAGTTACCGCTGTCGGTGTAGAAGAGAGTACAGTTACCGCTGTCGGTGTAGAAGCGAGTACAGTTATCACTGTGGGTGTAGAAGCGAGTACAGTTACCGCTGTCGGTGTAGAAGCGAGTACAGTTACCGCTGTCGGTGTAGAGGCGAGTACAGTTATCGCTGTCGGTGTAGAGGCGAGTACAGTTACCGCTGTCGGTGTAGAAGCGAGTACAGTTATCGCTGTCGGTGTAGAAGCGAGTACAGTTATCGCTGTCGGTGTAGAGGCGAGTACAGTTATCGCTGTCGGTGTAGAGGCGAGTACAGTTATCGCTGTCGGTGTAGAAGCGAGTACAGTTATCGCTGTCGGTGTAGAAGCGAGTACAGTTATCGCTGTCGGTGTAGAAGCGAGTACAGTTATCGCTGTCGGTGTAGAAGCGAGTACAGTTATCGCTGTCGGTGTAGAAGCGAGTACAGTTATCGCTGTCGGTGTAGAAGCGAGTACAGTTATTGCTGTCGGTGTAGAGGCGAGTACAGTTATTGCTGTCGGTGTAGAGGCGAGTAGTTATTGCTGTCGGTGTAGAGGCGAGTACAGTTACCGCTGTCGGTGTAGAAGCGAGTACAGTTACCGCTGTCGGTGTAGAAGAGAGTACAGTTACCGCTGTCGGTGTAGAGGCGAGTACAGTTATCGCTGTCGGTGTAGAAGAGAGTACAGTTATTGCTGTCGGTGTAGAGGCGAGTACAGTTACCGCTGTCGGTGTAGAGGCGAGTACAGTTATTGCTGTCGGTGTAGAGGCGAGTACAGTTACCGCTGTCGGTGTAGAAGAGAGTACAGTTACCGCTGTCGGTGTAGAGGCGAGTACAGTTACCGCTGTCGGTGTAGAGGCGAGTACAGTTATCGCTGTCGGTGTAGAAGCGAGTACAGTTATTGCTGTCGGTGTAGAGGCGAGTAGTTATTGCTGTCGGTGTAGAGGCGAGTACAGTTATCGCTGTCGGTGTAGAGGCGAGTAGTTATTGCTGTCGGTGTAGAGGCGAGTACAGTTATCGCTGTCGGTGTAGAGGCGAGTACAGTTATCGCTGTCGGTGTAGAAGCGAGTACAGTTATTGCTGTCGGTGTAGAGGCGAGTAGTTATTGCTGTCGGTGTAGAGGCGAGTACAGTTACCGCTGTCGGTGTAGAGGCGAGTACAGTTATCGCTGTCGGTGTAGAGGCGAGTACAGTTACCGCTGTCGGTGTAGAGGCGAGTACAGTTATCGCTGTCGGTGTAGAAGCGAGTACAGTTATTGCTGTCGGTGTAGAGGCGAGTAGTTATTGCTGTCGGTGTAGAGGCGAGTACAGTTACCGCTGTCGGTGTAGAAGCGAGTACAGTTACCGCTGTCGGTGTAGAAGCGAGTACAGTTACCGCTGTCGGTGTAGAGGCGAGTACAGTTACCGCTGTCGGTGTAGAAGCGAGTACAGTTATCGCTGTCGGTGTAGAAGCGAGTACAGTTATCGCTGTCGGTGTAGAGGCAAGTACAGTTATCGCTGTCGGTGTAGAGGCGAGTACAGTTATCGCTGTCGGTGTAGAGGCGAGTACAGTTATTGCTGTCGGTGTAGAGGCGAGTACAGTTACCGCTGTCGGTGTAGAGGCGAGTACAGTTATCGCTGTCGGTGTAGAAGCGAGTACAGTTACCGCTGTCGGTGTAGAAGCGAGTACAGTTATTGCTGTCGGTGTAGAGGCGAGTACAGTTACCGCTGTCGGTGTAGAAGCGAGTACAGTTATCGCTGTCGGTGTAGAAGCGAGTACAGTTATCGCTGTCGGTGTAGAAGCGAGTACAGTTATCGCTGTCGGTGTAGAGGCGAGTGCAGTTACCGCTGTCGGTGTAGAAGCGAGTGCAGTTATAGCTGTCGGTGTAGAAGCGAGTACAGTTATTGCTGTCGGTGTAGAAGCGAGTACAGTTATCGCTGTCGGTGTAGAAGCGAGTACAGTTACCGCTGTCGGTGTAGAAGCGAGTACAGTTATCGCTGTCGGTGTAGAAGCGAGTACAGTTATTGCTGTCGGTGTAGAGGCGAGTACAGTTACCGCTGTCGGTGTAGAAGCGAGTACAGTTACCGCTGTCGGTGTAGAAGCGAGTACAGTTACCGCTGTCGGTGTAGAGGCGAGTACAGTTATCGCTGTCGGTGTAGAGGCGAGTACAGTTATCGCTGTCGGTGTAGAGGCGAGTACAGTTATTGCTGTCGGTGTAGAGGCGAGTACAGTTACCGCTGTCGGTGTAGAGGCGAGTACAGTTATCGCTGTCGGTGTAGAAGCGAGTACAGTTACCGCTGTCGGTGTAGAAGCGAGTACAGTTATTGCTGTCGGTGTAGAGGCGAGTACAGTTACCGCTGTCGGTGTAGAGGCGAGTACAGTTATTGCTGTCGGTGTAGAAGCGAGTACAGTTATCACTGTCGGTGTAGAGGCGAGTACAGTTATCACTGTCGGTGTAGAGGCGAGTACAGTTATCACTGTCGGTGTAGAGGCGAGTACAGTTACCGCTGTCGGTGTAGAAGCGAGTACAGTTATCACTGTCGGTGTAGAAGCGAGTACAGTTACCGCTGTCGGTGTAGAAGCGAGTACAGTTATCGCTGTCGGTGTAGAAGCGAGTACAGTTATCGCTGTCGGTGTAGAAGCGAGTACAGTTATCGCTGTCGGTGTAGAAGCGAGTACAGTTACCGCTGTCGGTGTAGAGGCGAGTACAGTTACCGCTGTCGGTGTAGAAGCGAGTACAGTTATCACTGTCGGTGTAGAAGCGAGTACAGTTACCGCTGTCGGTGTAGAAGCGAGTACAGTTATCGCTGTCGGTGTAGAAGCGAGTACAGTTATCGCTGTCGGTGTAGAAGCGAGTACAGTTATCGCTGTCGGTGTAGAAGCGAGTACAGTTATCGCTGTCGGTGTAGAAGCGAGTACAGTTACCGCTGTCGGTGTAGAAGCGAGTACAGTTATCGCTGTCGGTGTAGAAGCGAGTACAGTTATCGCTGTCGGTGTAGAAGCGAGTACAGTTATCGCTGTCGGTGTAGAGGCGAGTACAGTTATCGCTGTCGGTGTAGAAGCGAGTACAGTTACCGCTGTCGGTGTAGAAGCGAGTACAGTTATCGCTGTCGGTGTAGAGGCGAGTACAGTTATCGCTGTCGGTGTAGAAGCGAGTACAGTTATCGCTGTCGGTGTAGAAGCGAGTACAGTTATCGCTGTCGGTGTAGAAGCGAGTACAGTTATCGCTGTCGGTGTAGAAGCGAGTACAGTTACCGCTGTCGGTGTAGAAGCGAGTACAGTTATCGCTGTCGGTGTAGAGGCGAGTACAGTTATCGCTGTCGGTGTAGAAGCGAGTACAGTTACCGCTGTCGGTGTAGAAGCGAGTACAGTTATCGCTGTCGGTGTAGAAGCGAGTACAGTTATCGCTGTCGGTGTAGAAGCGAGTACAGTTATCGCTGTCGGTGTAGAAGCGAGTACAGTTATCGCTGTCGGTGTAGAAGCGAGTACAGTTACCGCTGTCGGTGTAGAGGCGAGTACAGTTACCGCTGTCGGTGTAGAAGCGAGTACAGTTACCGCTGTCGGTGTAGAAGCGAGTACAGTTATCGCTGTGGGTGTAGAGGCGAGTACAGTGCAGAGCGGGGCCTCACCATGGTGGAGTTGCTGGCCTCGTCTCCGGCGCACACCAGCGTGGCGCCCTGTCCCGCTGGGCTCCTGAACACACGGTTCTTGGTGAGCAGTTTGCAGGAGGCGCCGGCGCTGAAGGTCTGCACGGCCGCGCAGGAGCACACGGGCGTCTGAGTGCTGTCGGTCTGGGGCGTTCGGTTCAGCTCCATCAGGACACAGCGCAGAGACGGGTTTGTACGACCTGCACAACACACACACGCTTTACAGATGCAACCGATCAGAGGATTACGCAGGTAATCAGTGTTATCTTTAAAGTCCCCCTGTGGTGAAAATCAAGCTTTTAATGTTGTTTATGTGTCCATGTGGTGTTTTTAATATGCTTTAACACAAACCATGTGTAAATTCATAAATCAACACCATTGCTGAGTATTTTCTCCTTAGAGTCCCCGTTGTTGATCATTTTATTCCTTAAAACTTACATAAGCATTTTTTCCTTGAAAAAAATTCTTTATGCCTTAAAATATCTTGAATGTAACTCGACACCCTTGCCTTATTTAGTATACGGTCGACTTATGAATTTACACATGGTTTGTCTTAAGTGAAGTGAATTTTCAAGGGAAAAAAAAATGTTTAAATATGTCATTTTGTTGATCAAAGATGAGTTTCAGCATCTCTACAAGCAGCCACGGCTCCCCCATCAGCCCTGGTTGAGAAGTGTGTGTTGCTGCAGTGGTGCGGTACCTGGCCTGTACGTGACGAGGCAGTGTCGGCTCTCCGGCTCCACCTGGATGTCGGTGCAGTTCCCGGACTCCAGAGGCAGGATGTGAGGCGTGTATGCGGTTCCCTCCACGTGCTCCCAGAAGCAGCCGCCCTCCAGCGAGCCGGCGATCAGCCCTCCACAGGGGAACGAGCTCGAGGCGGAGCGGGGGACGTACGACAGCGACACCACCGGGCAACTGCACACACACACAACCAGATCAACACAGGACAACTGCGCACACACACACACAACCAGATCAACACAGGACAACTGCGCACACACACACACACACACAACCAGATCAACACAGGACAACTGCGCACACACACACACACAACCAGATCAACACAGGACAACTGCGCACACACACACACACAACCAGATCAACACAGGACAACTGCGCACACACACACACACACACAACCAGATCAACACAGGACAACTGCGCACACACACACAAACAACCAGATCAACACAGGACAACTGCGCACACACACACACACACACACACACACACACACACAACCAGATCAACACAGGACAACTGCGCACACACACACACACACACACACAGACACACACACAACCAGATCAACACAGGACAACTGCGCACACACACACACACAACCAGATCAACACAGGACAACTGCGCACACACACACACACACACACACACACACACACACACACACACACAACCAGATCAACACAGGACAACTGCGCACACACACACACACACACACACAACCAGATCAACACAGGACAACTGCGCACGCACACACACAACCAGATCAACACAGGACAACTGCGCACACACACACACACACACAACCAGATCAACACAGGACAACTGCGCACACACACACAAACAACCAGATCAACACAGGACAACTGCGCACACACACACACACACACACAACCAGATCAACACAGGACAACTGCGCACACACACACACACAACCAGATCAACACAGGACAACTGCGCACACACACACACAACCAGATCAACACAGGACAACTGCGCACACACACACACACACACACACACACACACAACCAGATCAACACAGGACAACTGCGCACACACACACACACACACAACCAGATCAACACAGGACAACTGCGCACACACACACACACACAACCAGATCAACACAGGACAACTGCACACACACACAACCAGATCAACACAGGACAACTGCGCACACACACACACACACACACACACACAACCAGATCAACACAGGACAACTGCGCACGCACACACACAACCAGATCAACACAGAACAACTGCGCACACACACACACACACAACCAGATCAACACCGGACAACTGCACACACACATACACACACAACCAGATCAACACTGGACAACTCCACACACACACACACACACACACACACAACCAGATCAACACAGGACAACTGCGCGCACACACACACACACACACACAACCAGATCAACACCGGACAACTGCACACACACACAACCAGATCAACACAGAACAACTGCGCACGCACACACACACACACAACCAGATCAACACAGGACAACTGCGCACACACACACACACACAACCAGATCAACACCGGAAAACTGCGCACACACACACACACACAACCAGATCAACACAGGACAACTGCACACACACATACACACACAACCAGATCAACACCGGACAACTGCGCACACACACACACAACCAGATCAACACAGGACAACTGCGCACACACACACACAACCAGATCAACACCGGAAAACTGCACACACACAACCAGATCAACACCGGACAACTGCACACACACACACACACAACCAGATCAACACCGGACAACTGCACACACACACAACCAGATCAACACCGGACAACTGCATACACACACACACACACACACACAACCAGATCAACACCGGACAACTGCACACACACACACAACCAGATCAACACCGGACAACTGCATACACACACACACACACACACACAACCAGATCAACACAGGACAATTGGCACACACACACACACACACACACACACACACACACACACACAACCAGATCAACACAGGACAACTGCACACACACACACACACACAACCAGATCAACACCGGACAACTGCACACACACATACACACACACAACCAGATCAACACCGGACAACTGCGCACACACACACACACAACCAGATCAACACCGGACAACTGCACACACACATACACACACACAACCAGATCAACACAGGACAACTGCGCACACACACACACACACACACAACCAGATCAACACCGGACAACTGCACACACACAACCAGATCAACACAGGACAACTGCACACACACATACACACACAACCAGATCAACACCGGACAACTGCACACACACAACCAGATCAACACAGGACAACTGCATACACACATACACACACACAACCAGATCAACACAGGACAACTGCGCACACACACACACACACACACAACCAGATCAACACCGGACAACTGCACACACACAACCAGATCAACACAGGACAACTGCACACACACATACACACACAACCAGATCAACACAGGACAACTGCATACACACATACACACACAACCAGATCAACACCGGACAACTGCACACACACACACACACACACAACCAGATCAACATAGGACAACTGCACACGCACACACACACAACAGATCAACACAGGGCAACTGCACACACACACACACACACAACCAGATCAACACAGGACAACTGCACACGCACACACACACAACCAGATCAACACAGGGCAACTGCACACACACACACACAACAGATCAACACAGGGCAACTGCACACACACACAAACACAACAGATCAACACAGGGCAACTGCACACACACACAAACACAACAGATCAACACAGGGCAACTGCACACACACACAACCAGATCAACACAGGACCATTGCACACACACACACAACCAGATCAACACAGGACAACTGCACACACACATACACACAACCAGATCAACACAGGACAACTGCACACACACACACACACAACCAGATCAACACAGGACAACTGCACACACACACACACACACACAACAGATCAACACAGGACAACTGCACACACACAACCAGATCAACACCGGACAACTGCACACACACAACCAGATCAACACAGGACAACTGCACACAAACACACACACACAACCAGATCAACACCAGACAACTGCACACACACAACCAGATCAACACAGGACAACTGCACACACACACACACAACCAGATCAACACCAGACAACTGCACACACACACACACAACCAGATCAACACCGGACAACTGCACACACACACACACACAACCAGATCAACACCGAACAACTGCACACACACACACCAGATCAACACAGGACAACTGCACACACACACACACACACACAACCACACAACCAGATCAAGACCGGACAACTGCACACACACACACAACCAGATCAACACCGGCCAACTGCACACACACACACACAACCAGATCAACACCGGACAACTGCGCACACACACACACACACACACACAACCAGATCAACACCGAACAACTGCACACACACACAGACACACACACCAGATCAACACAGGACAACTGCACGCACACACACACACACAACCAGATCAACACAAGACAACTGCGCACACACACACACACACTCACTCTCACACACACAAACAGGCGAGCTGACCTGGACCGCAGCGGCGCCAGCTCCTGCACGTGTGTGCTCGTGTCCCGCGTGTCGTACACCAGCACAGAGCCGTTGCTCAGCCCGGCGTAGATGTAGTTGTTGTTGTCCTGGCACCAGCAGCAGCTCCACACGGGCCGGCCCGTGTTGTAGGCCTGGACCACGGTGTTCGTCAGCAGGCTGTGGAGGAACACCTGCGTTAGCCTCGCGGAGGACAGCGGTAGGGCAAACATACCGGTAACACTTTACAACAGGGTTCAGTGGTTAACATCAGGGCCGTGGAATGCTTGGATCTGATTGGTTGACGGGCGTTCTAAGGTGCGCAGGTATTTTCATCGAAACGCACGGATAAAGTAGTTCCGGCAGGTCTCGACCGCGGTACAGCTCCAGATCACTGCGCGGAGGTGACTAATAACGGGAAATAGGACACAATTCATAACAAGAACAAACATGCGCTTGATCTGCAATATTCGATGTCTAACTTCACAATCAATGGAAACATGCAGTTTAATTTTAATAAATAAACTATAGTCCTATCTATAATCAATAGAAAATTAAACTGAATATATAAATAAATTGATAGTCCTGCTGCAGAGGTTTTCGTAATTATTGCAGATAATATAACAAATAAATACTTATTGATATGATAGTAATATAGACGCACATGCTTTTCTGTCTCATTATTGCATCTCTCTCTCTCTAATAATTGACTCCGGGCCGTTGAATTATTAGAAATCACTGTCATCAATTATTCCTTAATGTATTTACTAACATGAACTAACCATGAGCAATACATTTGTTACAGTATTTATTAATCTTTGTTAATGTTAGTTAATAAAAATAAAGCTTTTCGCATCGTTTTCTTCATATGCAAAGCATAGTCATGTTTAACAAATGGTTTTACAACTGATGGGTTTTTCTGTTTTTATACAGTACAAAGAAAGACTGTAAAAACACTTGAGCTCTGGCCACCGAGAATGTGGATGAAAAAAAAAAAAACCCTCAGCCACCATCAGCGCTGGTTTGACCTGACAGCTCCAAAAGGCAGCTATAAATGGCAATTACTTGGAAAAAAATATGTATGGGTTGACCTCGACGCAATTCCCCGCCATGTTTGATGTGCCGTTTCATTACAGTGGCTGTCCCTCGGCGGACACGTGGCACGAGGGCAGAGTGTGTGAGGGCCGCACCTGGTGAGCTTGATGGTGCTGTCGAAGGAGGCGGACAGGAGTAAGCTGTCCTGCTGCTGGCTGAAGGCCAGGCCTCGGATCTGCTTGCTGTGGATGGGGATGTACTGACTCGGCTTCAGACTCGCTGTGCTGATCATCTTCACCCCGAAGCCTGAGGGAGAGACAGTCAATCAGCGACACGAGCCCTGCAGAACTGACTCAGTGTGTGTAGCGGCAGCAGTGTGTGTGTAGCGGCAGCAGTGTGTGTGTAGCGGCAGCAGTGTGTGTGTAGCGGCAGCAGTGTGTGTGTAGCGGCAGCAGTGTGTGTGTAGCGGCAGCAGTGTGTGTGTAGCGGCAGCAGTGTGGCGTGTGTGTAGCGGCAGCAGTGTGTGTGTAGCGGCAGCAGTGTGTGTGTAGCGGCAGCAGTGTGTGTGTGTAGCGGCAGCAGTGTGTGTGTAGCGGCAGCAGTGTGTGTGTGTAGCGGCAGCAGTGTGTGTGTGTAGCGGCAGCAGTGTGTGTGTAGCGGCAGCAGTGTGTGTGTGTGTAGCGGCTCAGACTCTCACCTGGCAGCAGCGTGGCGTGTGTGTAGCGGCAGAGGCGTGTGTGTGTGTGAGTGTGTAGACTCTCACCTGGCAGCAGCGTGGCGTGTGTGTGTGTAGCGGCAACAGAGTGTGTGTGTGAGTGTGTAGACTCTCACCTGGCAGCAGCGTGGCGTGTGTGTGCGTGTGTGTGTAGCGGCAGCAGTGTGTGTGTGTAGCGGCTCAGACTCTCACCTGGCAGCAGCGTGGCGTGTGTGTGTGTGTGTGTGTGTGTAGACTCTTACCTGGCAGCAGTGTGGCGTGTGTGTGTGTAGCGGCAGCAGTGTGTGTGTGTGTGTGTGTGTGTAGACTCTCAACTGGCAGCAGCGTGGCGTGTGTGTGTGTAGCGGCAGCAGAGTGTGTGTGTGTGTGTGTGTGTGTAGCCTCTCACCTGGCAGCAGCGTGGCGTGTGTGTGTGTGTGTGTGTGTGTGTGTGTGTGTGTGTGTGTGTGTGTGTGAGTGTGTGAGTGTGTGTGAGTGTGTAGACTCTCACCTGGCAGCAGCGTGGCGTGTGTGTGCGTGTGTGTGTAGCGGCAGCAGTGTGTGTGTGTAGCGGCTCAGACTCTCACCTGGCAGCAGCGTGGCGTGTGTGTGTGTGTGTGTGTAGACTCTCAACTGGCAGCAGCGTGGCGTGTGTGTGTGTAGCGGCAGCAGAGTGTGTGTGTGTGTGTGTGTGTGTGTGTGTGTAGACTCTCACCTGGCAGCAGCGTGGCGCGTGTGTGTGTGTGTGTGTGAGTGTGTAGACTCTCAACTGGCAGCAGCGTGGCGTGTGTGTGTGTAGCGGCAGCAGAGTGTGTGTGTGTGTGTGTGTGTGTGTGTGTGTGTAGCCTCTCACCTGGCAGCAGCGTGGCGTGTGTGTGTGTGTGTGTGTGTGTGTGTGTGTGTGTGTGTGTGTGTGAGTGTGTAGACTCTCACCTGGCAGCAGCGTGGCGTGTGTGGAGGGCTGGGACGCCAGCAGACACCCGAGGGGCTCGCAGTAGGACAGGACGCGACTGCTCCCGGTCTGAGACACCAGCAGAGCCTTGGAGAACACATAATGCCCCCCGCCGGGCGAGTCCTGCCTCTGGGAGGAGGAGAGGGACGAGCCCTGGGACGAGCCCAGCGACACCTGCGCTTTCCACCGCCTCAACTCCTGCGCAGAACACACACACATCACGACTCACACACCTACACATGATGAAGATCATAACGGGAGCCTCTCCTTTGACGGCAATAAATATAATTAAATCATATATACTGTATAATATACACTCACCGGCCACTTTATTAGGTACACTGCTCGTTAACACTTAATTTCTAAGCAGCCAATCACATGGCGGCAACTCAGTGCATTTAGGCATGTAGACATGGTCAAGACAATCTCCTGCAGTTCAAACCGAGCATCAGTATGGGGAAGAAAGGTGATTTGAGTGACTTTGAACGTGGCATGATTGTTGGTGCCAGAAGGGCTGGTCTGAGTATTTCAGAAACTGCTAATCTACTGGGATTTTCACGCACAACCATCTCTAGGGTTTACAGAGAATGGTCCGAAAAAGAAAAAACATCCAGTGAGCGGCAGTTCTGTGGGCGGAAATGCCTTGTTGATGCCAGAGGTCAGAGGAGAATGGCCAGACTGGTTCGAGCTGATAGAAGGGCAACAGTGACTGAAATAACCACTCGTTACAACCGAGGTATGCAGCAAAGCATTTGTGAAGCCACAACACGCACAACCTTGAGGCGGATGGGCTACAACAGCAGAAGACTCCACCGGGTACCACTCATCTCCACTACAAATAGGAAAAAGAGGCTACAATTTGCAAGAGCTCACCAAAATTGAACAGTTGAAGACTGGAAAAATGTTGCCTGGTCTGATGAGTCTCGATTTCTGTTGAGACATTCAGATGTTAGAGTCAGAATTTGGTGTAAACAGAATGAGAACATGGAACCATCATGCCTTGTTACCACTGTGCAGGCTGGTGGTGGTGGTGTAATGGTGTGGGGGATGTTTTCCTGGCACACTTTAGGCCCCTTAGTGCCAATTGGGCATCGTTTAAATGCCACGGCCTACCTGAGCATTGTTTCTGACCATGTCCATCCCTTTATGGCCACCATATACCCATCCTCTGATGGCTACTTCCACCATGTCACAAAGCTCTAATCATTTCAAATTGGTTTCTTGAACATGACAATGAGTTCACTGTACTAAAATGGCCTCCACAGTCACCAGATCTCAACCCAATAGAGCATCTTTGGGATGTGGTGGAACGGGAGATTCGCATCATGGATGTGCAGCCGACAAATCTGCGGCAACTGTGTGATGCCATCATGTCAATATGGACCAAACTCCCTGAGGAATGCTTCCAGCACCTTGTTGAATCTATGCCACGAAGAATTGAGGCAGTTCTGAAGGCAAAAGGGGGTCCAACCCGTTACTAGCATGGGGTACCTAATAAAGTGGCCGGTGAGTGTATATGTGCATGTGTATACACATATGTGTGTATGTGTATATATATATATATATATATATATATATATATGTATATCGGCCGCCCAACTGTATCCAGATCAGGTTCAGGTACCCACAGGTGTTAGTGGAAGAACTTAATTTTTTTCTTTTCTTTTTTCCATAAAGTGAAAGTTAATAAGGTCCAAAATTGGGTTTTTGGACCCCATTGACTTTCATTGTATGGAACAAATCTTTTTTTTTTTTTGTATGTTCATTTCCCCCCAGAAATTTATATTGCTAAAATAGGATTATACCATTCTTCATTCTGCTTTATAGAAATTGGTTAGACATCATGAGGCTAATTAATTTCCTTCTATTAAAAGTGCTAATTTTAACAGGAACACGACGATCCCCACAGTTTGAACGTGTTTTATTCTGAAATGTGCCTGAACTTGTATAAAGTGATTAACGTCAAACACACACATTAGTGTCTGTGTTGAATGTGAGCCCAGGTTTATTAGCACAGCTCATTTCCCACACGCTAATCGCTTCAGATTCACCTTAAATTATTTTAGGCTTACCGTACATACCGGTAATAAATGACATTTACAGTATAATGAATGCCAATATATTTACTGCTTGTTTCAGGCTTATATTTTTCATTCTTGTTCTATTATGAATACTGTTAAATTGAAAAGATTTGCTGTGGAATAAAGGAAACTAAAATGTTTGTAAACGTTTGATTTTATTTACCAGTATTTTACATTATTTCTGAACATCATAATATGTCACTTATACACAGATCAGATGTGACATCTATTTTTTTCTTTCTACAACACATGTTTGAGTTGGTGCAACCCAGAAAATACAGAAGAGTTATACATCTTGTGTTAATTAATAGAAAGTAGAAAACTTTTTTTGTCTTAATACTTAGTATTTCTTCTCAAAATTTAAATAGTTTTCACAACAGTAACAATATAAAAGCTAATTATTTAATCATTTAGTTTTTAATTTAGCAAACAATATGTTGTCTATATAACACAATGCTTTTTTCACACACAAAAGAGTTTTTTATAAGTTTAAAATATGCAGTAAGGCTGCAGGATATTGGGAAAAACGCTTTATATATTACATTATGCAGAAATGTTGGCCAGAGGACAGAATGGCTTTATTTGGAGAGATCGAGTGGGGTGATTTTGTCGGGCAGTGCAAAATAAACACAAAACTCTGGAATTTTTTTTTTTTTACTGCTGAGGACCATTGTGTGTGTGTGTGTGTGTGTGTGTGTGTGTGTGTGTGTGTGTGTGTGTGCCATCTTTTAAAAACTGAACAATTTGGTAAAAAAAAATGTTTCTTTATTTGGGGTTTACTAACACAACCCTCTTTCGATAACCACAAAGTTTAAAAAATAAAGTATAAAAAAAATATATCTACACTTGAGTTTACATAGGACACATTCACACTCACTGCATTTGACCAATTGAGTATAAAATAATAATTCTGAATTTTGTTATGATTTTTAAATGTATCGTAACTGTTGTATTTATTTAACTTTAAGCCACCAAGTGTTTATTATGATGGGTTGCCAGCCTTCGGATCCATGCGCTGCCGGTTTCAGAGTGAAGCTCGACTCCAGCACTGCATCATGGGATACACGTGTGTGTTGGTGAGCAGTGCCGATCTGGAGTTATGGATTTTCCCCGGATGTCGCGCAGCCGTGATATAGAGCTGCTTGTATATCTTAGGATTAGGGATGCACGATATAGGATTTTGGCCGATATTCGATATGCCGATATTTTCAAACTAATTTTGCCCGATGCCGATATCGATACCGATATATTTGTATTTTTTTTTGAGTGCAAAAAGAGCTTATTAAAGCTTCTATTAAAGTTCTCAGTCAAGAGCAGTGAGTGATTTCCTCTGTGTTTTGTTGTTTTATTAACATTAACGGGATAGTTCTCCCAAAAATTTAAATTGTCATCATTTACTCTCTCAAGTTTCTTTCTTCTGTTGAAATTATAAAAGTTATTTGGAAGAATGTGGCTAACCAAACAGTTGCTGTACTCCAGTGACTTCCATCTTATATTTAAGCACAAGAAAGAAATGAATCCAGGTTTGAAACAACATTAGATAGACAGAATTTTTATTTCTGGGTGCAGTATCTCTTTAAAGACAAGCGGCAGAATATTATTACTGTCTCTTTAAGAACTGCACGCGAGTAACGCGACGCGTCTAATATACACGCATTTGACAAGCAGATTTTCTCAGTTTGCTTTCACTTTAGACATAACCAACTTTGTTTATGTAAACCTTGTGTGTATTTGACAGTATCAGCGCAATAAGACTCGAAAGATAAGTTAGTCCAGTATGCAGGCGCTGTGACGGCTTTAGTTCCTGTGAGCGTCGGGTGTAACGCGCTCAGAAAAGCGGATGTTAGAACGGCGCATCAGCACGTGAATGACATGTTTAACTAGCAAGACTTTGACGCACATGCAAATAATGAACTTTTGTGAATTGCAGTGTCCCGTGAGTGTAACTCTACCTCTGCGTTTACATGTGATGTGAATGTGCGTCGCGTTGTACAGTATGTTGAGATGAAGGCGCCAGAATTGAACTGATAGAATGCACGATACTATGATTTTTCTTCAAAAGCAGACCGTGGAGACATCGATCAAAAACCGTGAGACGCACGGCACACCCCTAGTTGGAAGTTTAAGTTGCTGTCGCTCATGCTTCGTTCACGGTCGTCACGTGCGCATAGGAAACACGCCACCCTATCGGCAAGGCTCATCGGCAGAAATATTCATATCGGCCGATGCTGGTCATTTTAAGCTTTTATCGGCCAATACCGATGTTGTCCCGATATCATCGTGCATCCCTACTCAGGATGGGATCATCATATTTGGGGTTCAGATAACTAGCATCAACACACAAGCAGGATACACACCTCGACCTCTCTGCGCAGTCGTGTGTTTTCATCGGCCACGAGCTGCTGCTGCTGACGGCACTGAGCGACCTCCAGCTGCTCCATGCGGCGCAAGCCCTGCTCCAGCTCCAGACGACTGCACACACACACACACACACACACACACATCAGCACAGGCTCCAGACGACTGCACACACACACACACACACACACACACACACACACACACACACATCAGCACAGGCTCCAGACGACTGCACACACACACACACACACACACACACACATCAGCACAGGCTCCAGACGACTGCACACACACACACACACACACACACACACACACACAAATCAGCACAGGCTCCAGACGACTGCACACACACACACACACACATCAGCACAGGCTCCAGACGACTGCACACACACACACACACATCAGCACAGGCTCCAGACGACTGCACACACACATACACACACACATCAGCACAGGCTCCAGACGACTGCACACACACACACATCAGCACAGGCTCCAGACGACTGCACACACACACGAGCACAGGCTCCAGACGACTGCGCGCTAGGGCTGCAACAAACGATTATTTTGATAATCGATTAATCTAACGATTATTAGAACGATTAATCGACTAATCGTCGATTATTTTGCAGACTAATCAGTAAGTTTGGAACGATTATTTAGCTTTTCCAATTAGTTAAAACATTGAGTTATACATATTCTAACTATAATATAAAAAAAGAAAATCACTTCAGCTTTTGAAATAGTTGTTTTAATGAACTTTGAGCCAGCTAAACAGGTCATTCTCTTTAAGTTTTCAGATTTCGGTCCAACTCAAATCACACACAAATGCTCTCTAAGCATTGTTTAATAGGCCCACTGCTTTTCTTAGAACTGAAACAGAAAAAGGGACATTTACTTCAGGACACAAAGAATGGCAAAATATTAATCTGCAAACAATTATTATAATTATAAAATTACAATCTTTTTTTACATGACAATTGAGCTGACAGAGACGTTCTCATTCACCTTTTAATTTATAGTATGATAAAGTGACTGCCGTGATATTCTTCCTATATCATAGGAAGGATATAACATCTCGTTTTGTAAGTATTCATGATTATTGAACAAAATACAGGCAAGTGATAAGACTAGCCTATAATAATACCTAATATACTAATAGTGTTACAATAATAAAAACAGCCCTGACTCCTAAGCTCGATCAAGCTTTATTCTATGCAAAATAAGTCATCACATTACTGTAATTATATTACTATTGATAATATTATTACTATTATTAGTAGTATTGCATTCTCTAATAAAGAGAGATTTACCGCTGGTTAGTAAGCTCCAGCTGGAGAACACTCACTTCTCACCGGCTCCTCTTTTGCCGGGATGTTTCCTCTTGCACCCCAACATGCATGTTGTGCTTTTTCACGGGAGAAAAGCAAGTTCCGCCTTGCATGTATTGCACACGACAGCATTCTTGATTTGAAGTTTTGTGAAACTTTCCCAAACCTAAACCTTGCTAGTTCGGATTCGTTTGCACTGTCATAATTCGCGCTGTTTTCTCTTCTACCGCAATAGCATTTGTAAGAGCTGCACTACACTCTAGCGCTACAGCGCCGTAGCGGTCAAATCGCGGGATTGCAGGCCCTTACATTAGGTCACGTGAGATCAAACGACTACTCGACAACAAAGATATTTGTCGACAAATTTTTATTGTCGACAACGTCGACTAATCGTTGCAGCCCTACTGCGCGCACACACACACACACACACACACACACACACACACACACACACATCAGCACAGGCTCCAGACGACTGCACACACACACATCAGCACAGGCTCCAGACGACTGCACACACACACATCAGCACAGGCTCCAGACGACTGCACACACACACATCAGCACAGGCTCCAGACGACTGCACACACACACATCAGCACAGGCTCCAGACGACTGCACACACACACATCAGCACAGGCTCCAGACGACTGCACACACACACACACATCAGCACAGGCTCCAGACGACTGCACACACACACACATCAGCACAGGCTCCAGACGACTGCACACACACACATCAGCACAGGCTCCAGACGACTGCACACACACACACATCAGCACAGGCTCCAGACGACTGCACACACACACATCAGCACAGGCTCCAGACGACTGCACACACACACATCAGCACAGGCTCCAGACGACTGCACACACACACATCAGCACAGGCTCCAGACGACTGCACACACACACACACATCAGCACAGGCTCCAGACGACTGCACACACACACACATCAGCACAGGCTCCAGACGACTGCACACACACACATCAGCACAGGCTCCAGACGACTGCACACACACACACATCAGCACAGGCTCCAGACGACTGCACACACACACACATCAGCACAGGCTCCAGACGACTGCACACACACACACACACACACATCAGCACAGGCTCCAGACAACTGCAAACACACACACATCAGCACAGGCTCCAGACGACTGCACACACACACACACACACACACATCAGCACAGGCTCCAGACAACTGCAAACACACACACATCAGCACAGGCTCCAGACGACTGCACACACACACACACACATCAGCACAGGCTCCAGACGACTGCACACACACACACATCAGCACAGGCTCCAGACGACTGCACACACACACACACACACACACATCAGCACAGGCTCCAGACGACTGCACACACACACACATCAGCACAGGCTCCAGACGACTGCACACACACACACACACATCAGCACAGGCTCCAGACGACTGCACACACACACACACACACACACATCAGCACAGGCTCCAGACGACTGCACACACACACACATCAGCACAGGCTCCAGACGACTGCACACACACACACACACACACACACACACATCAGCACAGGCTCCAGACGACTGCACACACACACACACTCACACACACATCAGCACAGGCTCCAGAGGACTGCACACACACACACATCAGCACAGGCTCCAGACGACTGCACACACACACACACACTCACACACACATCAGCACAGGCTCCAGACGACTGCACACACACACACACACACTCACACACACATCAGCACAGGCTCCAGACGACTGCACACACACACACACACTCACACACACGAGCACAGGCTCCAGACGACTGCGCGCACACACACACACACACATCAGCACAGGCTCCAGACGACTGCGCGCACACACACACACACACACCAGCACAGGCTCCAGACGACTGCGCACACACACACACACACACACACACACATCAGCACAGGCTCCAGACGACTGCACACACACACACACATCAGCACAGGCTCCAGACGACTGCACACACACACACACACATCAGCACAGGCTCCAGACGACTGCGCACACACACACACACATCAGCACAGGCTCCAGACGACTGCACACACACACACACACACACACACACACACATCAGCACAGGCTCCAGACGACTGCGCACACACACACACACACACACACATCAGCACAGGCTCCAGACGACTGCACACACACACACATCAGCACAGGCTCCAGACGACTGCACACACACACACACACACACACACACATCAGCACAGGCTCCAGACGACTGCGCACACACACACATCAGCACAGGCTCCAGACGACTGCACACACACATCAGCACAGGCTCCAGACGACTGCACACACACACACACACACACACACACATCAGCACAGGCTCCAGACGACTGCACACACACACACACACACACACACACACACATCAGCACAGGCTCCAGACGACTGCACACACACATCAGCACAGGCTCCAGACGACTGCGCACACACACACACACACACACACATCAGCACAGGCTCCAGACGACTGCGCACACACACACACACACACACATCAGCACAGGCTCCAGACGACTGCACACACACACACAGTCTCATCAGGACACCACACACACACACACACACACTGAGAGCAGGACACACACCTCTTCAGACGCACCTCCTCCGCGTTGTCCAGCGCCTTCAGTCTGCGCGCGTACAGGAAGATGATGTGGCCGCGCTTGGCCTGCTTATTACACTGAACACAACAACAGGTCAGCACAGATACACACTCTCAGCAGATGCTGCTGCTGCTTTATTGGCTTTAGTGCCATGTGTCTACAAATATATTCAATCAAAATTAACTATGAAGGTTTTTAAATATTTAATATTTAAATATTATGTTATTGTTATCGGTCCGCTAATGTTTTTTCGATATATTAAAGCCGATGCATGATTTACTTCAGCGGAGACACTTCAGTTCGCCATGATGGGTTTCAGTTGCTTGAAACATGATGTATAAATCACTTTGACAGGAAAATACAGTTAAGTGTAGCGCAAATCTGTCATATATCAGCTTAAACATTTTATTTCCGAAATTAATATATAACCTTGTATGAAAATATCATATGAAAAGGTAATGCAGGATTTAAAATGTTTTAAAACGACATAAGGGCACTAATTTAGTAGATAAAGTGAGCGTTTCTTGGACTGCTCGTAAAAACGGCTTTTTTTTTCAACATCGCGTCATTTTACGTCCCGCCAGGGAGCCTCGGCTCAGTGCAGAGCAGGCTTCAGTGAGAGCGGCCATGAGTCACTGTGTGTTCGGTAGTTTTTGTATTTTAATTTATCATCGTCATGCTCAATTATTGTGTTTGTGGAGGTTGCAAAAACTCCGGCCTGTCAGGACATCGAGTCCACAGGTTTCCATAACAAGAAAAAGGACGGTACTGTATATCTCCTAAAAAACGCTAAGTGTTGCATAAAGCCCCTTAACTGTAATTTTCCTATGTATAACAATCTTAAGTGTTACACGGAGCGAGCAGGTTCAATCCAAGTCTTCTAACGAGACGCGATCGACCGCTTTATCTGATAAACTGATTGTACTTTTGCCGTATTTCCACATATAAACACAAAGCGCATCTTATATGGTTACCGGAAGCTCAAACATGCCTGCGTCACGCGCTTGCCTGCACGTTTGAGCTCACCGAAACAGCCTGAATCATATGGATTACTTTTATGTCTTTCAATAAATGATGAGCGAATATTAAACATATCTGTATTTGTTTCTAAAGATGAATGAAAGTCTGAATGAATTGAATGAAAGGGTTTAGACCGACATGAGGGTGATTTCTGGTCCCGTCTGGTCCTCTTTCATATTTAGTTTTTTTAAAAGTTTTTTTATCCATGTTATGCTGTTTTCTGTGAAAGTTACCGCTATCTGTATTAACAAAATGTGTCCATGGCAGTAATCGCATTTTATAACGCCAAAACCTGGGTCGCTGTCGTAAAACACATAACGGTTTCCCTTACCTAAGCGAACCATTTAAAGCATTATATGCAACATCCTTAAAGTCCCACTCCGATCATATTTTGAGCTATTTTTAAACATTCCCAGTGGTCTTTAAATTATGATTATGCCATTTTTAGCCAAAATCACAAAACCTGTGCCGTTTTCTGGGACTTCGCTTCAGCAGAGCGGCAGTAGCTCATTAGCAATTCGCCTCTGCGTTGTGGGCGGAGCTGTTGGCACGGAGACGCCCCTCCCCCTGCCCGTTGCTAAGAGCTCTGTCTCTCCCGCTAGCTTACACCCCCAATACCGGTGGGGCAACAGTATTATATACACGTTAATTATTATTATCCGAAGTTAATCAAAGTTATCACCGATCACCGATCATTATTTCACTCCAAGACGTCGCGTGTGGAGACGCCCAGTGGAGTTACTACGTCACAACTCCAGTCGATTTTAGCCAGCATTTTAGCGTCTGCTACTGATTCACAGCCATTTGAATGTAGAAATACTCAGAAATACAACTTTGAGCTTATTTTTCTCAAGATATGTCCTCTAACATCAGAAAAATGCCACAAGAACATGTTAACACCTAGAAAAACATTATTTTCATCGGAGTGGGTCTTTAAAGGGATAGTTCACCCAAAAATGAAAATTAGCCCATGATTTCCTCCCCCTCAAGTCATCCTAGGTGTATATGACATTGTTCTTTCAGACGAATACAATCAGAGTTATATTAAAATTGGACGGCCATCAAAGTGCATCTATCCAGGATAAAAATTCATCTGTCCATCATAAAAGTGCATCTGTCCTGTCCATCATAAAAGTGCATCTGTCCATCATAAAAGTGCATCTGTCCATCATAAAAGTGCATCTGTCCTGTCCATCATAAAAGTGCATCTGTCCATCATAAAAGTGCATCTGTCCATCATAAAAGTGCATCTATCCATCATAAAAGTGCATCTGTCCATCATAAAAGTGCATCTGTCCATCATAAAAGTGCATCTGTCCATCATAAAAATGCATCTGTCCATCATAAAAGTGCATCTGTCCTGTCCATCATAAAAGTGCATCTGTCCATCATAAAAGTGCATCTGTCCATCATAAAAGTGCATCTGTCCATCATAAAAATGCATCTGTCCATCATAAAAATGCATCTGTCCATCATAAAAGTGCATCTGTCCATCATAAAAGTGCATCTATCCAGGATAAAAGTGCATCTGTCCATCATAAAAGTGCATCTGTCCATCATAAAAGTGCATCTGTCCATCATAAAAGTGCATCTATCCAGGATAAAAGTGCATCTGTCCATCATAAAAGTGCATCTGTCCATCATAAAAGTGCATCTGTCCATCATAAAAATGCATCTGTCCATCATAAAAATGCATCTGTCCATCATAAAAGTGCATCTGTCCATCATAAAAGTGCATCTATCCAGGATAAAAGTGCATCTGTCCATCATAAAAGTGCATCTGTCCATCATAAAAGTGCATCTGTCCATCATAAAAGTGCATCTGTCCTGTCCATCATAAAAGTGCATCTGTCCATCATAAAAGTGCATCTGTCCATCATAAAAGTGCATCTATCCAGGATAAAAGTGCATCTGTCCATCATAATTCTGTCCATCATAAAAGTGCATCTGTCCATCATAATTCTGTCCATCATAAAAGTGCATCTGTCCATCATAAAAGTGCATCTGTCCATCATAAAAGTGCATCTGTCCATCATAAAAGTGCATCTATCCAGGATAAAAGTGCATCTGTCCATCATAATTCTGTCCATCATAAAAGTGCATCTGTCCATCATAAAAGTGCATCTGTCCATCATAAAAGTGCATCTGTTCATCATAAAAGTGCATCTGTCCATCATAAAAGTGCATCTGTCCATCATAAAAGTGCATCTATCCATCATAAAAGTGCATCTGTCCATCATAAAAGTGCATCTGTCCATCATAAAAGTGCATCTGTCCATCATAAAAGTGCATCTGTCCATCATAAAAGTGCATCTGTCCTGTCCATCATAAAAGTGCATCTGTCCTGTCCATCATAAAAGTGCATCTGTCTGTCCATCATAAAAGTGCATCTGTCCATCATAAAAGTGCATCTGTCCATCATAAAAGTGCATCTGTCCATGATAAAAGTGCATCTGTCCATGATAAAAGTGCATCTGTCCATGATAAAAGTGCATCTGTCCATGATAAAAGTGCATCTGTCCATCATAAAAGTGCATCTGTCCATCATAAAAGTGCATCTGTCCATCATAAAAGTGCATCTGTCCATCATAAAAGTGCATCTGTCCATCATAAAAGTGCATCTGTCCATCATAAAAGTGCATCTATCCATCATAAAAGTGCATCTGTCCATCATAAAAGTTCATCTGTCCATCATAAAAGTGCATCTGTCCATCATAAAAGTGCATCTATCCATCATAAAAGTGCATCTGTCCATCATAAAAGTGAATCTGTCCATCATAAAAGTGCATCTATCCATCATAAAAGTGCATCTATCCATCATAAAAGTGCATCTATCCATCATAAAAGTGCATCTATCCATCATAAAAGTGCATCTGTCCATCATAAAAGTGCATCTATCCATCATAAAAGTGCATCTATTCATGATAAAAGTGCATCTATTCATGATAAAAGTGCATCTATTCATGATAAAAGTGCATCTATTCCTGATAAAAGTGCATCTATCATCATATGGTCTGACTCAAGATGGCGCCATTGTGTGTGGCTTGCCGTCTGTCACTGTCATTGCTGTGTCTGTTTTTACTGTTTGTTTTGCTTTTTGCCCGGGATGTCGACTCTCTGCTGGTGTATGATCGCCAAACACTGCTCGATCTGCGATTTTCGGCTGAAAATTTTGTAAAATTGGATGATGGTGGACGTGAAACCTTGCCCCCGCTCCTGGCGAGGCTCCCGGCTCACTTTTGGCACGCCCCGACTCTACCTTCTCGGCGTGAGCGCCGACGAAAGCGCACCCGCCGCCGGGGAAAACGTAGTGGCCGGCTGGTGAGGTTGAAGGCCCGTCTTGCATGGTGTTCTACGCCTTTTTGGACTGAGTTTGGAGTCGTGCCTAGCCTCGTTATTCCTCGACGCTCGCTGGACTCTGTCGGCGCCTGGCTGATACCTGTCGTCGGCCCGGAAGAGGTGTTCCAGCCCCGCGGCCCCTGCTCTCCTCGTCCCCGCTGGCGCCGAGGTAATCACAGCAACTTGCGGTCTCTGTGTCGGGTTTCGCGAACATCCAACGCCGCGGATCCGCCGGTTCCTGCCAGGTTTGGGCTGGTAAATGCTAGATCTCTAGCAAATAAGACTTTTGTCCTAAAGGATTTTTTCAAGTCCCGAGGATTGGATTTCCTCTGTGTAACTGAGACATGGCTGAGTGATGGTGAGTCCAGCGCTTTCACAGAATTTGTACACCATGATTGCTGCTACCTTAACTCCCCGCGAAAATCTGGCCGAGGAGGAGGAATAGCGACTGTATATAAGAGTCATTATAAATGTAAGCAGATTTTGCTGTCATCCGCTTTCAGCAGCTTTGAGCTGAGTTTATTTGAGATTGGTCGCTCTCACACAGTGTTGTGTGTTGTGGTCTATCGGCCCCCTAAGTACAATAAGGACTTTTTAAATGAATTTTCTGATTTCCTGGCTGAAATCATGCCTAAATATGATCGTGTTCTAATTGTTGGGGATTTTAATGTTCATGTGTGTTGTCCTGATAAGCCAATAACAAAGGGTTTTTTAAACCTCATTGAATCTTTTAATCTTGTGCAATCTGTGTCTGGACCCACACAAGAACATGGACACACACTTGATCTTGTATTGTCATATGGTTTGCCTGTTCTTAATCTAGAGATATGTGACGCAGTGTTTTCTGACCATATGCCTGTATTATTTGAGACTGCTCTTGCTTGTCATACATTTAAACCTCGCGCTTCTGCACGGCTCTGTCGCATGATTAACCCTTCCACTGCTGCTCATTTCTCGGCTGCTTTCAGTCAGAACACCATCACTCCTGAGTCTGTATTGCACACAGAAGAGCTTAGCTCATGGTTTCACTCCACCAGCCAAACTGTTTTAGACACTGTGGCTCCATTAAAATCCAGGTTGCCTAAAACTAAATCTGAGCCCTGGCTAAATTATATGACTCATGCTGCTAGACGTGAGTGCCGTAGAGCTGAGCGCAAGTGGAAGAAGGACAAACTGCAGGTGTCTCTTCAAATGTTAAGGGATTGTTGGCGTCATTTCCAGGAAACTGTGAAAGATGCTAAAAGAAAACATTTCTCAGATATTATTCTGGCAAATTGTCACAAGCCTCGTGTTTTGTTTAACACCATTGACTCACTTTTAAATGCCCCGCAGAATGCTTGTATGGAGGCATCCCCTGCTATGTGTGAAAATTTCCTTTGCTTTTTTATTGATAAAATCACTTCTATTAGGTCTCAAATTGCACCCTCAGCTTCAGACCCGTCAATCTCTGTCCCCTGCTCGGCTGTTTTTGATCATTTTGAGCCGGTGACTTTTTCTTTTTTAGAGGAGGTTGTGGGTCATTTGAAGCCCTCAGGTTCTCCAAATGATGCTGTCCCCCCTCGACTATTTAAGGAGGTTTTCCCCACCATAGGACCATCTGTTGTTGCAGTTATAAATAGTAGTCTTACCTCGGGTGTGGTGCCTGAAATTTTTAAACATGCAGTAGTTCAACCTCTGATTAAAAAACCTGCTCTAGATCCGTCAGTTCTTGCAAATTTCAGGCCTATTTCCAAATTGCCCTTCCTTGCAAAAATCCTGGAGAAGGTTGTGCACAGTCAATTATTGACCTTTTTGGAAGAACATAGTATACTAGAGGTTTTCCAGTCCGGTTTTAAAACCTTGCACAGCACCGAAACCGCTCTTTTAAGAGTTTTTAATGATATATTCTTAGCGACTGACTCTGGCGACTGTGTTATCCTTGTGCTGCTAGATCTAACTGCTGCATTTGACACAGTGGATCATGAAATATTGATTTCACGTTTAAGGCAGTGGGTGGGCATCAGTGGCTTAGCACTGGAGTGGTTTAGGTCATACTTAGCGGATCGAACTTTTTGTGTTAGCGTAGGTGAATTTGAATCCTCCTCTGCTCCTCTCTTGTGTGGGGTTCCACAGGGCTCAGTCCTCGGCCCTCTGCTTTTCTCTTTGTATTTGCTTCCACTTGGTTCTATACTCAGAAAGTACGGCATTTCATTCCACTGTTATGCAGATGACAGTCAGATTTATGTACCTCTTAATAAAAAAAAAGATAACTCTGTCGGACAATTACTTAATTGTCTCGACGACATAAAGGCCTGGATGGCTCTGAACTTTTTAAATTTTAATGATAACAAAACAGAAGTGATGGTTTTTGGAGGCACCCCTGGGACCCCGCCTGCAGATATGGGCTCCTTGGCTCCCTATATTAAACCTAGCATTACAAACCTAGGAGTTAAAGTGGACCCGGAGCTTAAATTTGACAGTCAAATTAAAGCTGTTGTCAAATCAAGCTTCTTTCATTTGAGGCAGCTGGCCAAAATAAAGCCTATTCTGTCAAGACAACACTTTGAAACTGCAATCCACGCCTTTGTAACTACACGGCTGAACTATTGTAATTCACTATATGTGGGGGTTAGTGGGTCCTCCATCACCCGTCTCCAGATGATGCAAAATGCAGCAGCACGTCTTTTAACGGGCACACGTAAACATGAGCACAATTCCCCTATTTTAGCTTCTCTACACTGGCTGCCTATTCAATTTAGGATCCATTTTAAAATTCTGTTATTTGCTTATAAATCATTAAATGGTCTTGCCCCGCCATACCTCTCTGAGGTTCTACACTATTATAAACCCATCCGCGCTCTCAGGTCAGATGATCAGCTGCTCCTGACAGTGCCTAAAACTAAGCGTAAGCTCAGAGGGGACCGTGCTTTTGCTGTGTCTGCCCCTAAACTTTGGAATGATCTGCCTTTCCATGTTAAGCAGGCTTCTTCTTTATCTGTTTTTAAAACCCATCTTAAAACCCATCTTTACTCTTTGGCTTTTGACACTTAGTAAGATGTTGACTCCATTTGTTTGATTTTATTTGTTAGTTTGAATGTTTTTTATTGTATGGTTATTAATTGTACAAATGTTTATGTTTTCTGTACAGCACTTTGGTCAACTTTGGTTGTTGTAAAGTGCTTAACAAATAAAGTTGGTATGGTATGGTATAAAAGTGCATCTATTCATCATAAAAGTGCATCTATCCATCATAAAGGTGCATCTATACATGATAAAAGTGCATCTATCCATCATGAAGTGCTCCACAGGCTCTGGGGGGTTTATAAAGCCCTTCTGAAGCGAAACGACGAGTTTGTGTAAGAAAAATACCCATATTTAAAACTTTATAAAGTAAAATAACTAGCTTCCGGCAGACGGCGGGAAGAATGTCATATACACCTAGGATGACTTGAGGGCGAGTAAATCATGGGCTAATTTTGATTTTTGGGTGAACTATCCCTTTAAGTCATTCCCTTAGCTGAGGAAATCCCGCCTCATACTTAAGGGAAGAACGTATGCAACCGGGCACTGGCCTGTAATGTTGAGTGAGAGAGTGAGCGCACCTGTGGACACTTGTTCCCGCCGCCCGAGAGCCAGCGCGAGATGCAGATGTACCCGAACAGGTGTCCGCAGCGCAGAGCGGCCAGCCGGTGGTCCCCGGCCGAGGTCCAGGGCTCGAAGCAGATGGAGCAGGTCTCGCCCTCCCCGTCCCGGTCCTCAGCCTCTCCTGTGGGACACGGCACCGCTCCTGCGGGACCCCCCGGCTCCGGCACAGCCTCTCCTGCGGGACCCCCCGGCTCCGGCACAGCCTCTCCTGCGGGACACGGGACAGCTCCTGCGGGACCCACCGGCTCTGGCACAGCCTCTCCTGCGGGACCCACCGGCTCTGGCACAGCCTCTCCTGCGGGACCCACCGGCTCCGGCACAGCCTGGGGAGAGAGAGGCAAACACTGCACTCACAATCCTTCACAGAGCAGCAAGAGTTCAGGACCAACACAAGCTCTCAGTCACACCTCAGACTCTGGTCTCGGCTCTCCTGCTCCTGCGCTCGTCCCTCCGGGCTCCTGAGGAACACTGGGCCCTGTGTGTTACACACAAACATCTTCATTAGTGATCAATGGATGCTCACAATTAGATATAGTGTCTGTCATATAGGCCAAAGCGTCTTTACCTAATGTCCTTAAAGGGTTAGTTCACTTCAAAATAAATAAGTGGCCATCTAGTGGCAAGAGTCATGAAATATCATGTTATATTACTTTATTTCCACAAGAGGTCGGCAAAGACACCCAATTTAAGATATTTTGAGTTGAATTAAAAGGTCTATGCATACAAATTTAGTTATTTTAAACTTAAGTTGAAAGAATGTGAGGAATGCGCTTAAATTACCATTTAATAATTACTTTAATTGATTAAATATAGTAATTTAAAAGTAAATTAAAATAACGAGATAATCCATCCACCTCACAGGTGTGGCATATCAAGATGCTGATTAGACAGTGTGATTATTGCCCAGGTGTGCCTTAGGCTGGCCACAATAAAAGGCCACTCTAAAATGTGCAGTTTTACTGTATTCCCCCAAAAAAAGGTTGTTGAGTGTGGCCTGTGGGATGTTGGTCCACTCCTCTCCAATAGATGTGCGAAGTTGTTGGATATTGGCAGGACCTGGAACACGCTGACGTATACGCCGATCTAGAACATCCCAAACACATTCATTCATGCTGACTGCAGGAGTGTCCTCCAGATCTGTTGGCTGTGAATTGAATGTTCATTTCTCTACCATAAGCCGTCTCCAAAGGCGTTTTAGGGAAGTTGGCAGTACATCCAACCGGCCTCACAACCGCAGACCACACCAGCCCAGGACCTCCACATCTAGCATCTTCACCTCGTCTGAGACCAGCCAGCTGCTGCAACAACCAGTTTGCATAACCGAAGAGTTTCTGCACAAACTGTCAGAAACCGTCTCAGGGAAGCTCATCTGCATGCTCGTCGTCCTCATCGGGCTCTGGATCGGCGTATACGACAGCGTGTTCCAGGTCCTGCCAATATCCAGCAACTTCGCACAGCCGTTGAGAGGGAGGGGGAGTAAATACTGTAAAACTGCACATTTTAGAGTGGCCTTTTATTGTGGCCAGCCTAAGGCACACCTGTGCAATAATCCTGCTGTGTAATCAACATCTTGATATGCCACACCTGTGAGGTGGACGGATGATCTCGGCACAGGAGAAGTGCTCACTAACACAGATTTAGACAGATTTGTGAACAATATTTGAGAGAAATAGGCCTTTTGTGTACATAGAAAAAGTCTTAGATCTTTGAGTTCAGCTCATGAAAAATGGGGGCCAAAAACAAGTGTTGCGTTTATAATTTTGTTCAGTGTATAGGCTAAGGGAAGATCAAAACACTGAAGTTGGTTAAGGTATTTATCTGACAAAATTATTTGGCAAAAAACAAACTACAGCTACAGGTTTTATTTTACTATAAAAAGAAAAGCAAATATTGACTACAACATAATCAGTTATTAATATTTTGTTGGTTCTCTCTTGTTTCTGCATGTGTTCATTTCTTTCGATGACAGCTTGGCCTTAAATTATAGACACACAATAGTCACTCAAAAATATGTTTTAAAATGAGACCAAACTTGAGTCTGTGCTCCAAAGCTTTACAGTTTTTGACAGGCATTTTTGTCCTCTAAGGACCTCAGAGCAACTCTTTTCTTTTGAAGGACACACATAGGGTTAGGGAATGGAGGAACCTGTGTGTGAGGCGAGGGCTGGCCGTGGGCCTGTGGCGCTGGGCTGACGGGACGTGTGTGTGATGACGGCAGCGGGCCGGCTGGAGGAGTGTGTGTGAGCCTCAGCTGTGTGTCGTCTCAGACGCTCCGACAGCTCCTCCGTGTCCCGTATGAGCGCCTGGAGCTCTTCACGAGTGCTCAGTCTGGGAAAAAGAAGAGCATCAGGAACATCAGGCCATGAACTCATTCACCCGGCAGGGAAACTCTCCGACATCAGGGCCGCAGGAACCTTTTCACAGTTCCCACAACTATTGGCGGAAGTTCCCGGTTTTTGGCAGGAACTAGGAACGATTTTAGTTCTAGGAACTCCTTTTGGAGGAACTAGTGTACTCCTCCTTCAGAGTCGGTCTAAACCAGCGCTATAGGAACCATCCGTGACGTTAGTGTTCGCTGATTGGCCGAACGCACGAGAAACACCAGCACCCGCCATTTTAAAAGGCCGTGTAAACACAGATTATAGCCTATATATTTACTCCACAAACTAACTCTACGAACATGTAAAACAGTGATAGATGTGCCTCTTAATCTTAACGCTGAGGAGAAACTCCAGGTGAAACTTGAGGGACTGAGAGAAACATGATTATGTATTTCTGCTCAGCAACACTGGACATCAACCACACGCCATAACTTTTCATTACCGTCTACATAACAGTTCTATCTAATAACGTATTAAGGTCCTTTCACACTGGACGCGATTTTGACGCACGAATAATTCGCGCGAAAGTCTTATTTTTTTATCAGCTGTTTGTGTAATGAGTGCGTCCACACCGAACGCGAATGTGCTGCGGCGAAAAAGCGAGTTTTATTTTTTCCGCTTCGATGTCGATTTTTTTTTACTTTTGCGGTGACAGAAAAGGCTTCAGCCAATCACATACAAGGAAACAAAGGTGAAGCTTGTTGACGCTTTGGCCGCTCTGACATAGCAGCATTATGCGCGAGAGAAGAGAAGAGTCACAACATGAAATGTAAACTAAAAACAAGCAATACATTGAAACTAGAAACCTTTTATAATGACAGCATTTTTATATTGCCTATTCCGCATCTCAACGCACGCATACCCCTATCATTTACGACATGACGGTGTTTCTTACCAGCAAAAGAACGAGGCATGGGATAAAATAGCTGGGATATATAGCTGCGGATGATTTATAATCATTTTGACTAGGAGGGAAATAATTGATGTAGAATATTTTCAACATTCATGGTTGTGTGCTTCATATTATTTTTGCATGCATGTAGGCCACACACCAGAGCATGTGCGTAAAGCGGAGCGGGGTGACGCTTAAATAGGCCTATAAGTTAAAAAACTCAAACATACGTTTCATCCTACGTTTAAATAATATAATGCTATTTTTTTTATTTCATCCATGTTGATGATCTATATGAAAAGGGAACCGCATGAGATGAGTAAGGATCATAAAATGCCCAATATATCGAAAACATTGGGAGTGGGTCAGACATAATTTTGGCCACTTATTAAGTTTTGTTTTGTAGAAAGCCTTTCTTTAAAGTGAATTTTGTTTTGTATAAATTGTATCTTAATTTTAATCAATGTTTCATCAACAAATTGCCTGGATTTATAGGAATAAGAAGCAAATATAGTAGACAATATAATCAGGACACGGAGGCGCCGGCGCGTGAACTGGAGCGCGTCTCACACCGAAAACACTTTATTAATAAACAATTCAAATGTTTAATGCATAATCCTTACTTTGGATGGTTCTTTGTGGCAAAGTTTTAGCTACTTTACAAGATTAGCATACTCCCCTTCAGACTCTCTGTTCTTTAAGATTGGGTGCACACAAAACCTTCTTTTCTGTCTTTTAAAGAAAACGAAAAGCTCGTCTTCACTGGACGATGATGATGATGATGATGAAGTGTCCGTGTTTTCTCTGCTGTCGGCGCGAAAGTTTTGGAATGTTGAAGCTCTGAACGTCGCAAATTCGCCTCGCGGCTGATGTGAATGGTTCTGACGCGAACTATTCGCTTTTCCGTTACGCGTCCGGTGGGAAAGGGCCTTTAGACTGTAAGACAGATCGTAAATAATGAACACGGAGAATGCGAGCTCAGTCGTTCTCAGCGCCGTCAAAATAAAAGTCTCAACCACGAGCGCGGCTCACGTCACTTCAGAGTTCCTGCCAGCGGAGCGAACGCCACAGGAGAACGTTCCCAGGGGAAGCACTAGTTCTCGGGGAACACCCTGGTGGCGAGTGCCTATAACTAAGGTCCTAGAATCGGATCTACCGGTGCGAAAGCCCCTATTCGTTCATTCACACTCAGAGTTAACTGTCTATTGCAGGAAAAAGTGAGTGAACCCTTTGCATTTACTTGTGAATTATTGGTCACAGCTTAAATTTGATGAGCAATTTACACAGCGATCCAGGCAGTTCTAAAGAAATACTGTATTATGGGGGGAAAGCTGTGGTTCTGTTACCCGATCCTCCGCCTCCTCCTCTGGACGTGCCGATGCACCGGATGCCGGAGCCGCTCCACCAGCGCAGACACACTCTCTTCTTCTGTGGTGCTGTCCGACTCCGAGAGCACGATCACTCCGGCCGCTGCTTCCACCTCCATGTCCTCCATCTTCACACACCGCCTGCAGGACACATGGAGACGTCACACACTTCACACACACCGCCTGCAGGACACATGGAGACGTCACACACTTCACACCTCAATTACATTTACGCATTTGGTAGATGCTTTTATCCAAACCGACTTACATTGCACTTCAAGCTACACATTTACATTCTTATCAGTTCTTGCTTTCCCTGGGACTCGAACCCATGACCTTGGCGTTGCAAGCGCCAACGCTCTACTGTTTAAGCTACAGGAAAGCAATACACTTATACACGTAATACTACGGTGGCCGAGAAGTGCAAAACAAACCACAATTCTGAAAACAAAACAACAAATTTATAAACGCAAGTTAGAAAACACAATAACAATTCCAAAAACAAATGAACAAGTCAACACAACGACAAGTCAGACAAAACGTAAAAGCTAGGTATATGTGGCGAATGGAATACTGACCGCTGATTGGACGAGACATCTGTCAATCAAGACATGCAGAAAGTACAGCAGAAGAAAGTCGATTCGCGTGTGCATGTGTAAATGTGTAAAACAAAAAAGGTCAGATAGTATTATATTCTCGACATATTTCCCGTTTTGTCCGACTTGTCGTTGTGTTTTCTGACTTGTTAATTTGTTTTCAGATTTGTTATTTTGTTTTCGGAAATGTTATTGTGTTTTCTAACTTGTTCATTTGTTTTTAGTCTTTCCATAGCGCTTATAAATTTGTTGTTTTGTTTTCGGAATTGAGGTTTGTTTTGCACTTCTCGGCCACCGTATAATACACTTATTTATTACGCAACACAAATATTAGGTCAATTTTGCGGGGGCGAAGATTTCTACAAGTGGGTCCCGTCCCGAATAGCGTCACACACCACATATTCTCATAGAAAAGTACAACAATCTAAACACTCAAAATCCGTCATGTGTAAATCGATGGAATGGGACACTGTAGCTTTAAAAGATCCAGCAGGCTCCGCCCCCTAGTGGGCGTGTCAGGTTTCACATTTAACTACATTTACTCCACCACCTTATAATCAAACGTTTTTCTAAACTTGACAAAACACATTCCGTCAGAAAGCTCTGAGACTTAAGTTTCCATATTCGGTGACCATTTAGCGAAAGAAGTGATACTGCGACAGGAGTGTGTTCATCTGTGGCAGGAGTGTGAGCCGTTTAGCGATAGAAGTGTGTTCATCTGCGATAGAAGTGTGTTCGTCTGTGGCAGGAGTGTGTGTGTCGCTGTCGCCCGGTGGCTATTTTTGGTACAGCACCTAAAAAACCTCACAGGAAACTCATATTTGTGATATCAAATCTGGAGCACAACTTGGTTAGACACGAGGCTTTGATTTTGTGTCAATTTTAGAGTCCAAATTATTTTGTAAAATATATATTTCGTATAAAATTAAAAAATATAGTACATTTGCTTAAACTTAAACACTTTACACTTCCAATGGTTTAAGTGCTTTAACCTGATAATAACATTCTGCCGGGTGTCTTTTTTAACCCTTTACACCCGGAGTGTCCCGCCTGCAGCGCCACCTAGCTACGAAGAAATTAACAATCATACTTTTCAAAACTACTGCCTTGATCAACACAAGATACGTGTCATTTGAAAGCTTAGAGTCTGACCTTCACAATGAATGTAGCCACTTTGATTCACGTGAAGCCCAGGAAGACCCATATCTAAATAATATACGCACGAGTCACGTTTTCACTCGCATCTTCATGAAACATGCTCCTATTACAGCAGATTCTCAAGATTAAAATGAGTCCAAAATCGTAATCAGACAACCGAGATGATCACGAGACATTCCTCACGGAGGACACAATTTTATAAATGCCTTCTGGATCTAAGGGCTAAACACAAAGGCTATCTTGGTTTCAAACGCTGTAGCTTTTAATCACTTCATGCCATCTCCAGCAAACGCAATCCAGAGCGTTGTGGAGATTAGGGTTCACGTACCAACCCCGAAGTGATAAAATTAAATTAAATTCTGTATCAAAATTTATAGGCAAGACAAGTAGTTTGTTTAGGCATGGTTTGTAGGGAAATTACGCACATATACTCAAACGCACATAACTATAGAATCAGTTCTTAATGCGCATGTGAACGCCATCAGCGTTTATCACAGGTTCAGTTTAAAGTCTGTTTAAAGGGAACGGTGTCGACTTAGCGGCCCCTAATTTAATAACAAATGATCATTTCACCGGAAGTGAATCAATCAAAACTAACTCTAGCTGGAAATATAACATTATTCACGAACCGCTATAAAACCAAACCAATCTCTGTTACCTTAAATTATATGTTTATCTCTGTAAAGCTGCTTTGAAACAATCTACATTGTTAAAAGCGCTATATAAATGAGGATGACTTGACTTGTAGGGGAACTTCACCAGAAAATATTTTTCTCCTACCTTATTTCCTTCCTGAGTTATGGCATGCCAAATAAGAAAGATATGTAAATCTATAATAAAATATATATATTTGTGTTATTTATCAGCAGTTTCTCAGTATGAGATAACCAAAATGTAATTAAATGTTTGTTTTTCTAAAAAATAAAAATGTTCTATCAAACATACCTACCGGTACCTTTTGACTCTCCTTGCTATACTTTTGAGTTGTGAGTCTCTACTTTTGAGTATGCCTTAAATGTGTTAAAGAGAGCACCCCCACTCCTCATGACACACACTGGGTCTGCATCTCACACCTCTGCTTCAGAAGGGGGAACAATAAACAGGGGAATAAATATTTACCTCTTTGTCACAACAATCCTCACCAACTCCACACAAAAGGTCCTGTTTATGTAACACTTACATCATACTTTGAAAATTAACTTTATCCTTCGCTAAATTACTTTCGGTTCCCCTGAAAGAGAAGCAGAACCGAGTTCGCCATCCGGGTCTCTCTCCCACACTATCCAGGTTTAGTTCGCAATACCATAGAGTACGGGTAGTATGCGAACTACACTAGTTTGAGAAACGTCCTGCTAGATCGCCTGTTAAAAGTTGTAGTCCTCAAATCACACTGCGCCTGTATAGATCAGGGTTATGTAAAGTCAACATCCAGCAGGTCATAGTTTTCTCTAACAAATGACCAGAGACACTGTTATCATGAACATGCTGCTAATGTTGCTAACTAACTACAGCACACCAACAACATCTGACATTAACAACATTTACCGAGCACAGCGTCCGGTTTGCCTGAGGGATTTCTTCGTCCGGTCGCCAACAAACCAGCTTTTCCAGCTTTAAAGTGGATCGTGGTGCGATTTCGAATAATTACAAACAAGCTCGATAAATTCGTGATAGAAATCATGCAGGATCTTCGCTCCTGCTGCAAACACAACCGCCAACCCGAAGCCCCGCCCCCTCCGAGCGTTATGGTGTTTGATTGGACAAGAGCGTGCGATGGTCTCTGACTCATTTCCGGGAATCGGTTCTTTCAAACAGTTCATTCTAAATAACCAGTGGTCTGTTGCATAAACAGACTGCTTAGAAGAATAGTCTTACAAGCTGAAGTTAGTCGTGTAATTTTGTTGGACATAACTTTTTTAAGTCACTCATAAAACTGTAGAATGGTCTAATTGGAATCCAAAAAGTAAGATTCATGATTCGTTCAGAACGACTTTTTGAACTGAAAAGATTCGACTCAACAGGACGATTCGCTTAAGAAAAAAAACATAATAGAGGAAATGCTCAAATAATTTATAGTTACTTTTAAAGACTTGGCACATTATGTTACCTTTGACATGATACACGGGCACCCGCTGATATTGTTACAGAAAGTTACTGTGATACTTCATTTCATGTAGAACTTGTGCGCACACACACACACACACACACACACACACACTTTAGCCAGCCCAGCAGAGGGCGTTGCGATTCTATTCTGCTGTAAAGATGCTGAGATGCAATAACACACACAGTCCCAAACCTAAGAGTAGTTCACGCTGAACACACACAGATACTTTACTTCTGAATGTAAAAAAAAAAAAAAAACTTCTGAAAGTATGTAATTGTAAACATTAAAACTTCTGCCCCATAATGGTCACATGACAAGACAACCTGACTGGTGTAGTACGTCACGATTCATACTACACACATTCAAACTAGATAGGACATACTTTAACAGTTGTGAAGTAATTACTTGTTCAAAAGAAGTAGCTACCTATGCAATTTCAGACGCAGCTAATGAGATGAATAGAATTTAGGCCCAGAATGCATTGCAACAACCTCCAAAAAATCATCCCAAGATGGCAGACAAAGTAAAAGAAGTGTTGATTATCATTCACTCAATACCAAAAAAATACATTATTAAATTAATTCTAGTGTTTAGAAAGAGAGAGAGAGAGAGAGAGAGAGAGAGAGAGAGAGAGAGAGAGAGAGAGAGAGAGAGAGAGAGAGAGAGAGAGAGAGAGAGAGATGCATCAACAGAAGGGAGACAGATGGCATCAAATCCTCAAGTCTGTGTCATACTTCATAACACCTTTTGATAACACACACTATAACATTGTGGATTCAATTACATAAGTTAGGTAATGCAAGTGTATTTTCTAATGTGGCATCTGTAGCCAGTATTACTGTAATTACTTAAGCAACAAGTTTGTTTTGATACCCAGATAACAGTTTGGAAGCAGAGACTGTCCCGCTGGATAGCGTACGTGATAGCGCTAGCGCTAGCTTACAGGTCCCTGGACTAGCAGGATCCATCACTGACATCTGTGCGACTTCATGTGAGATCTTTATCAGGTTATATAACTCTGGCCCCGTTCACAGCTGGTATCAAGATGTGTTTCGGTCGCTCGGATCACGAGTGGACGATGCTGAAAGCTGGTGTAAACGGGTCTAAAACATTTAGAGCTTGTCCACTTTCGAAGACTTCCAGAGGTAGTTGAAAACACACTCGACTGGATTGCTTCCATAGTGTAAACGATCATGTGATCAAAAGTGTTTGAACGGCCACATAAGACTGACCGACCTGAACCTTACTGACCTGATGCGTGAACATCATGGGAAGAGCTCTATTTAAACTTTATCGGCTAGAGACTCAAGTTTAGTTTGAAGATGAAAAACATGCCGAGCACAATGTTCCCTCTCCACCCTGTCATCTAACACTCTCTCAGCGTCCGTGATCCTGCGTCTGTCAAAGCAGAAGCGAAACCTGCTGCGCTCTGTGTGTTCTCCGCCGTCTCTGCTCGAGGTCCATGTTCTCTAGGAGATATCACACCCACAGGCTCCGGTCCCGAACCCGAGCCCATCGGGCATGTCTGAGGTCCCTGTCTCCTGTCATCAAGGCTCAGGACGGCTTCTGTTCTGCACTAGTTGTACGGCGCGTTATTGAATCGCGTTCCCCATACAGTGTGCGTCAGAAACGGACACAATGTGAGAGAACCGTGTCGAAAGGCAGAGCTGAAGTGGTCATCTCAACTGGCATCAGACATTGGGCCGCTCAGACATTGGCTTCGACATAAAGTCAGTAGCCGCGTTTCCATTACCCTTCAAATTGCGCAAATCGAAATTGCGAATTGAAAATATGCTCAATGGAAACACGTCAATTTCACACAAACTCTTCGCAATTTCGCAAAAAAAGTTTTTACGCTCGCATGAGGAGGTTTTTCAGGCAATTCGAAAAATGGAGGTTCCGATGGAAACAGTTTTTGCGCATTTACAGTCACCTGACGTAGATGACGCGGTGTGTTCGGACAGAAGACGAGACAGAGTTCTCTATTAAATACATAAAAGACAAAAGAATTAGTAGGAATTCCGTTTTTGTCAAACAGTGACCCCTAGAGTCGCTGTGGAGTACTTGTACGGTCGTGAATAGCACTCACGCAGAGATGGCTCGCACTCACGGCCGGATCCCCTCCCCCTGTACACCGGTACCTGTTCAGTGGGATGGACGCTGTAACGAGTGGAAATAAGGTGTGGCCCCTTTAAGAGCTGCACGCGCCCTGTTTAACTGTCGGCAGTCTTTATTGTATGTGCGCCTCGAACACCACATGTATACGGCGCCGGGTTATTTCTGTTTGATGCTCATTTTATCAGAATTTTATCAGATCTGTTTTTTGCCGTAGAGCAATTCGTTACCTCTCGAGACCTGATATCACACGATACTTCCTAACACTGAGGCCGGCGGCCCAAAGTTGCAAGGGTGGTTTTGCGGCTCACAGGCACCAGGGGGGTGCGAGACGACCACCATTCAACACAAAATCAGTAATATAAACATTACATTGAATCCAAAGCTGTTCGGTTAAGGTAAAAAAAGTTACTTAGTTCACCTTTAATGGAAACGCCGTTGTTTCGCAATAGTTTTTTGTCGACATTTAGAAAAAACGCAAATCTGTAATGGAAACGTGCCTACGGTACACGGAAAGCTCAGGTGTCTAGTTAATTTTCAATGCAAGACACACTGAACGCGGCAAATCCAGTGCTATCTCTCGACCAATTCAGTAACAGTTGGTGGTTAATTTGCTAGCACGAGTAAAAGGTGGCTAATTCGTACGATGGGTTTAGGGACGGGGTCAGGGGAAGGGCATTCGCACGAATTCATACGAATTGGGCAACTATAATATCTGCTAACTTTGTTTACATTTTGGCACACAATTTGTCTGAAAATAGGTGGGAAATGAACCACTTGTGTGGTAAAACGCAAAAGCATTCTCAATTATTTAACAAACAAACAACTTTGTGAATGATTGTAACGATTTGGTTTTGGTTCATGCCTGATGTCTCTGTCAGGCTTCATGTCTGTCATGTTCAAGTCATGTGATCCTGCCATGTGTTCCCTTGTCTCATGTGTCATGTGGTCACTGGTTCATTGGCTCATTGTTCACAGGTGTCCCTTGTCTTGTCATTAGTCTTGTGTGTGTTTAAGCCCTCATGTTTGCCATGTGTCTTGGTCAAGTAAGCTCCATGTCCATGTTTAAGTCTTGTTCTAAGTTCATGTCACGCCATGCTTTTGTTTTGAGTTTGTTCATGTTATCCTAAATAAACTGCACTTGGGTTCTCATCTACACTTGCCTCCTGTGGACTTCCTTACAATGATGAACGATCCCGTTCTGTGGAAATCCACTAATGCATGCCAGGACATCGTCACAGCAGAGGTTTTGAAACCGGATGACTGCAGTGTTCATCAGGACACCATGTCCTGTTCCTTTACTGGTGTGTTGGTTTGCAGTCGTCAGATGTGACCCCGCAGTCGTGACCAGGCCGAGGCTGCTGTGACATGGAAGAGCTGGATGAGTGTCTAACCCATGCTAGCACAGATAACAAGCACTGACATTGTGGACAATGAACTGAGATTTTAAACAACAGAATCTCTTAGCAACTAGTCAACATTGGCCTAAAGATGTTATCATTAGTGATAGTTGCTAAGGCGAGGAACCAGGAACATGTAATGAGGAGGTAAATAGGGTTCATTTTCATTGTTCAAGAAACCCTGGCTAACCATTAGTAATTTTGGCTATTTATGATGGCAGGAACTATTGTCAGTGTGTGAGTAACGCTGATCACAGAAGTAATATGGTGTTGCTAAGAGACATGGGAAATGTCAGCCGGCCTCCTCGTCTCATGAACACCTGGAGTCTCTTCGGATCAATCCGCTCTGGTTGCCAGGAGCGTGAAGAGTGACATGCGTTTGCTGAAGGGGGATAAACTGCCTTGACATCTGAAACTCCTTCAATCAGAATATGAGGTCATTTCAGTACGTCATGAACAGTAAAAGAGTGTTGTCTGCCTACCCAGAATCCACTGCTGTGATGTATGGGTGTTTGTCAGGGCATCACTGTACGGTTGCTAGGTGTTCTGAGTGGGTTTAGCACGTTGCTATGAGGTTGCTAGGGTGTTCTGAATGGTTCCTTGGGCATTGTATATTGTGGGCCTGTAAAAAAAACTCCCTGCCATGATCTTTCTGTCATCTCTTAACCACACTGTGTGGTGGCTAGGTGTTGTAGTTGGTTGTTAAGGTGTCGCTCTGTGGTTGCTAAATAGTTGCTAGGTTGTTGCCAGGGCATCACTATGTCGTTACTAGATGTTCTGAGTTCTTTTTAACATGTTTCTATGTGGTCTAAGGGTTCTGGGTGGTTGCTAGGGCATTGCTATGTGGTTGCTATGGTGTTCTGGAGGTTGCCAGGGCGTTGCTAAGTCTTTTGAGTTGTGAACATGCTGCTATGTGGTTTACAGGGAATTCTGGGTGGTTTCCAGGGCTTTGCAATGAAGCTGCTAGTTGTTCTGATCCATTTTTAGCAGGTCACTGTTTAGATGTTAAGGTATTATGGATGGTTGCTTGGGCATTTCTAGGGGTTGCTAGGGTATTGTTTGCCTGTACAAAACTCACCGTGATGATGTTTGGATGTTGTAAGTGGTT